CACTTTAACATCAAAGACTTACTAATTTTGAATTCACAGTTTAGTTATGTGGCCTGTTATGTACATAAGAGTTATTAGTCTGTAAATAAGATGGACAGGTATCCTGACAATTCAGAGACACTGGTGGAAAATGTGATGGTTGAGGTCTGAACTCCATGAAAAGTGTGGGGCCTCCTCCAGTTGTTCAGAAGATGCTTTTCCTTCCTTTCCTTTCCTGCCTAAATCGTGGTCTGCCTTCCCCACTTCACTAATCACCCATTGGCTGTCAACAGTGAATGGCCCTGTAGGGTTATATGCATGTTAATAGCATGTTAGTAGATGATTGGAAACAATTGTGGAACTGTAATTGTTTAATGTGGTGTTTTGTCTGCTTTTGCACATCCTTTCTCCTCTTTTGAGCTTGTCTACAAAGGCTCTATGCAAGACTGGCGATTGTTGGGAAATAAGATTGTCAGCTGAAGAGTTGTTCTCTCACTCCATCTCAGGTGGCTTCAGATATTTTCCTGGAAGCCAATGGATAACCTTTGCTTGGAAGTTTATTTTGGAGGGCTTAGGGCAAAACATGAAGATATACTTTAGTTACCTTCCCAACCCTGTCAATAAGATAGTGGGCTAGTTCGAACAAAATAAATAAATAATTTGCACAATCCATCGGCCTGCCCAACATACAAAGTCTTCTGTTTGCAACAGCTTTGAAGGAATGATATGTTCCCCATTCTAGATCAGTAATAAATTGTCATAAATTGGGCCTGCAACTAGAGGAAAAAAATTATTTGAACTCTTTTCAGTCCAATACCAAGTCTACCTGGATTCCACTTGTCGGTGCCTTTGGTGAGACCAGTTGGGAGGTGAGACCCCTCAGTGTTGCTTGGTCTTATCACTGACCTTGAACATCCCCTACTGTGCTATCCCTCTGGACTGTCTCCCAGGGTTGGGACTGATTTTGCAGTTGTTCTCTTTCTAAAGGATCAGTTATGGCCATTGAGTTGAGTTCCAGATCTGCATGAGCCCCCATTCTGAGGTCACCCATCAACATAGATCAGGCATCATCAATACCATGATGATGCTTAGCTTTGGACCTCAACCCAAAGCTATCAAAAGTGACAGCTATAGTTAGGAGGACCTTGTATAATGTGCTAGTGACGAACCTTCCTGGGTCAGGAGATTTTACTCACAGTCACTCATCCCTTGGTCATCCCTCACTTGGACAACTGCAGTGTCTTCTTCATGAGTCTGCCCTTGCCACCGCTTGAAAGCCACAGGAGGTCCAGAATGTGATAGCTCTGTTTCCTGTGTACCTTCTCTGCTTTGATAACTGGGTTGATGGCTGCTTAGCTTGTGGATGTAATTCATGGTGGTTGCCTTTAAAATTCTGTTTGGCTTTATATCTGTCTGTTCGGGAAAGTTAAGCAGTGGCTCACCCCATATTTCTTCTCTCTGGGAAAGGCCCCATCAGGGACCAAGAACTCCGCTTGGCAGATGCTACCAGAGACCCGTTCTCTGCAACTGGCCACAACCCTCCTAGGGTTTAGGAAAACCAGGGAAACGTGGCTGCTTCGATAGGCCTCAGTAATGGCTACATGATGAGGTTGTCATCTCTTACCGTTGCTGTAAATTATGTTGATCATTATTGTTTAATCTGAGTTATAGACACCAGCTACATAATCCGCTTACAGTTGGCAACAATTAAAGCAGCAAGTAAGTCCAATAAATAAACAGTGTAACTGATACGTTTCTGTATTGCTAACATGCTCCCACTCTTCTGAGAATTTGTTTTGCTCACGCAACCCAACAAAACAACTCTTGATGCCTGAGAGACCCACTCTCAGTTGCATGTGAGGCTCTAATACAAAACACACAAGCAGTACGATGACAATAATATGATTGAAAATTATTTAAAAAGAGGAAAGGAAGGCTAAAATTATTTCATAAGGAAAATGACTCCCCAGAATTTCATCAAGGAGTTTGAAACTCTTCTTTTTCATCTGTCAATTTTTTTAAAAATTAAGATGTTAATTAATAGCATATATCAATCATTCAGAAAGGACGGGTATCAGTTTGTTGTTCCCATATGCAATTTGGCAATACCCCCCTCCCTTTGCATGAAGAGTTTCCCCACCCCCACCCCTCTCTCAATGCCTTGCTAAATTCAAAACAGGACCCTCCATGGATTGTTCTACTTTGTCCCTGCCTTTGATTACGAGGAATGGTCAATTCATATTGGCTCTTAATTTTCTTTCTCAGCACAGGGATGATAAGATTTTACATTCAAGAGACGCAGTTGATGTCCACAGATAGTTTCACACTCAGTGAAATTGAGAACCAAAGTTTCCCTTTAAGTAATAAAAGCCCCAAGAGACTCCAAGAGTTTTAAAGACCTTTTGCAGTACAGGCACAACCATTTTTCCCTTCAGCAGGAATGCTGGAAATTTCCTCTTAAAAGACCCCTAAACAAATCCATTTCCCAACGGCAGCTTTTAAACTCTACTTTGAGCCCACAATAAAATAGATGATCTCTCATCAAATTGTAACAGAACTAATTCATGCCTCACCGCAAGACATTTATACCAGATACTTTATTTATGGAAACACCACTTTGGTCATGAACATATGAAGAAAATGTTCCTGCTAAGTTATGCAGTCTTCAGCGGTCTCTTTTGTATAAGAGTCTGTGTGTTTTTCTTATATTAAATCCAAATCAGGTACCTCTTCCCTGTCTTTTCTGACAAGGGCCTTTTAATACCAATAATCACCTAAAATTGCCATTTATTTAATAAGATTGTACTACATAATAAAGGCTTGACATGCACTAGTTTGATGTAATGGAAGGTTTTTCATATAAAAGAATTCATGGTATCCTGCCATTTGCTCTTCTTTCTTTCTTTCTTTCTTTCTTTCTTTCTTTCTTTCTTTCTTTCTTTCTTTCTTTCTTTCTTTCTTTCTTTCTTACTTTTTCTTTTTCTTTTATTTTCTGAGCACCCAAATCAGTTGATATGTTTATCATTGGATAAGACATAGTCTTACAAATATTCCTGGGATGTTCACAACTATAGTTGAGAAGTTTGTCTGACACCAAACTAGTTTTTTTTTTTTAAAATTCTCATATTTCCATAAATACTTTGCAAATATAAATAAACTCAGGGCTCTTATACCTCAGTCACGGGGGGGGGGGGGGGGGGAATCTTTACTTTCCAGCATTGTTGTCTTTAAAAAGTGGAAGAGACTCTCAAGGCTGGTAATAGCCATGTGGTAATTCTCCTGTTCTCCACTTGGTCATCATGAAGGATCTGGCCCAATACCAAATGCCCCCATTTATTAGTACCTTTTAGATCCTATGTCCTCAGGATGCTGGGAAGATGTCATTCTTGATCACCCTCTGAGTTTTTTGTTTCTCAAAGCTGGTGGGCTTATTGCCAACACCACCTTAATTTTTATGCTCCAGGAATATGAATCTTGGATGTTCATTATTTAAGGACATCCTTAAATATTGCTGTCTCCCACCACCATTCAAAGAAGTGTCCCAGGAGAGTGATGGGCCTCAAAGCTGCCCATGAACAAACCTGAAACTGCTTAGCGGTGCCTTTGCATGTTCTCATGGAGTTCTTGCCAGGGACTCCGACAGTGAGCCATTCATAAAAGGCACATTCTTCTACTCTAGCTTTGGGGAAAGAAGCAGGTCATTGTGGCCCTTTTAAAGCAGGGCAGGGCCCTTGAACCTCCAGGGGCTCCAGGGGACAGGCAACACAACAGGAAAGGTCCTATCAGGTGTTTTTAATATCAAAGGCCTCAAACTGGATGGAGGCAGCACCAGGAGATTAGGACACTTCATAGAAACAACAGTGCCTGTGTCAGGGTTCCAAAGAGCATCCAAAAGTAAATCAGAGACCAAGGCAAAGTATTGCTCAAAGTTTCCATTTATTAAGAGAGCCACGTTGGCACAGCTGGGAAAACCTGAATCTGAAAGCTTCCAGTTTTCCCCACCTAGTTGAAAGTTCAAGATCTTGCTCCCACACCCACAAGTCCATCACATGATCCAATCTCCCACTGCCATGGTGGCAATTCCACCCATCCAGTTCCGGTCAGGTGCAGAGGTACAAAGGATGACCTTGGCTTTCTAGAAAGAATTTTGTTTTGGCTATACAATAGGTAACTCCCCTCTCCCATTTTCCCACAATAGAAAAAAACATAGCAGAATAATAGAAAGTGTGGCAGGCCAGAGATCCAAAAGAAAGCTGCAGGCCTGACAGCCGGTGCGTTCCCTGTAGCCACTTCTGGCTGGGCAGGTCCAGGACATTTCCCACCTGACAAGCGCTAAAGATCTCAGAAGGCCAGGACCAACAGAAAGCATCTCCTGCAGAATCTCCTCCCCAGGTGCCCTGCCTTCTCTTGCCCATTGAAATTCTTCACTGGGTGAAGAGCTTCCTTTCTGCCTTCCCAAAGGATGGGAACGGGAACCGCTCCTTCAGCTGAAAGGGACCAGGTCAGTGGTGAGATTCAAATAATTTAACAACCGGTTCTCTGCCCTAATGATTACTTCCAACAACCCCTTCACCAAACTGCTCAGAAAGTTAACAACCGTTTCTCCTGAAGTGGTGCGAACTGGCTGAATCCCACCACTGGACTAGGAGGACAAAAACCTTTGAGAGGCAAGGTGTGTGTGCATTGCAGGGACCAATCCCACAAATGAAGGCAGCTCCTCAGCAAAAACGTTCAGAAATCCATGTCTTGGTCATATTAAAATGGGGTAAAAGAGTGGATTGTCTACCCCACAGCACAGCCACCTGGCTTGGTATGGCCTGCCTTTGCCCCTCATACTTTGCGTATGTGGAAGCAGGTGGAAGGAGGGGCAGAGCAAGCTCCGAGGAACATTTCAGTGTGAAGAAGACACAACAACGCAATTCAGCCTTTTGAGAAAGAGACACTGTGAAAGGTCATAGGGGAACAAAAGCTGAATCAAGCAGTTTTCAAGATTCAATCTGCCATCTCTTCTTTTCTTCCAGGTAAAATGTGAGTCTAGATCGCCTTTGTCCAAAACCAAAAATAATAACAGCAACTGTAAAAAGGGCTCCAGTGAAGATAAATCCAAGATTTCTGTTGGTGAGGAATGCAGAGCAGATGAACAGGCCTTCCTTGTGGCACTTTATAAATATATGAAAGAAAGAAAAACACCAATTGAACGAATACCCTACCTTGGTTTTAAGCAGAGTAAGTAGAATTTTCACTGCATTTTTTTAATGTGACATTTAATGTGCTTAACTTGGGAAGAAGGGACAATTTTAAAGGACCCTAATTTTAATTATTTTAATTTTGCATTCTATTTTATTATCCAAGTCATGTCGACATCCCGAGAGATATTTAGGCATACCAAAGGTCTGTGGGGTTTTTGGTTTTTCCCAATTGCTTTGAGAAGCCTGCCCACATTTGGGGAATGCCATATAAAAGCAAATCACTGGCCTTCTGTAGGCAGTCTGTGTGCCTTAGAGGTCTAGATTACATTAAACGGGCATCGTGGGACTCGTAAGAATTCAGTTATTGGCCCTGGGTTGATTCCTCGATTGATTTCTTTTTCATCCCCTATTCCATAAGGGCCTCCAGATCAACTAGTCCTACAAATTTAGTCTGCAATCCTGTCACACTCTCTTAGGTGTCCCTTTTTCCTAGCAAGACTTATTCTGCAATTTAGCTGGATGAGACGGCATCCTTATGTTTTTGACATGCATAGCCAAACCAGAAATAGCTGTAAGATGCTTCTGTTATTTTCCTCTTTAAAAAACAGTGCAAGTGAAAAAAAATATTTTAAATCAGTTGGTACCCATAGTAGTTGCTTGAATTAAAATAACATTTACTTGCATCCTACCCAGTTTTTACTTTGGGAGGCGGGAGGTGTACAAATCTAATTAAGGCATTTCAATAAGACCAGGAAATTTGTAAAGTAAACTCCAGATATGAAAATCGCATTTAATGTACATCATGCAAAGAGGTGTATTAACGGAGGACTTACCACTATTTAAAAACAATCATTAAATTTGGTGTAAGTATCCCATACAATGGATGGAATGATGTCATAAAGGATGTGTTTTGAATCATCAATAAGTTTTACAAATTATTTTAAAGGGAGAGGTTCTTATTTGGAAATACTAGGTATCTGAACTTCTTTTCCCTGTTATGTTGATGCAGAATGTCAGACTGGTATGTTTTACATAACAATTTACATACCTAATAGCAATTGACACTGATTGGAAGGGGCCTCCAGCAGCCATTAGAAGCTTACATAACTCTAAAATGATTACAATGTTTCCTTGAAAAACTAGCTGCTTGAAATAGAAGCAGAATGAATGTAGTATGAACAGCTTTGTTGCATTATGCATTGGATTCCTATTAAATTAAGGACTGGGTAAAGCTTCCGATAGCCCAGGAAAAATGCAAGATTTAGCAATGCTTTTTTATTCAAAAGGTTTTGAGGTGTGTGTGTATGTGTGTGTGTGTGTCAGAGAGAGAGAAGAGAAAATTGCAATGTTTTCTCCCCCAGATATAACAGAATAATATAGTTGGAAGGGACCTTGGAGGTCTTCTAGTCCAACCCCCTGTTGAAGGAGGAGACCCTATACCATTCCAGACAAGTGGCTGTCCAGTCATTTTTTAAAAGCCTCCAGTGATGGAGCTTTCACGATTTCTGAAGGCAAGCCATTCCACTGGTTAATGGTCTTCAGTGTTAGTTTCTCCTTAATTCCAGGTTTCTTCTCTCATTGATTAGTTCCCATCCATTGTGTCTTGTCCTCCCTTCAGGCGCTTTGGAGAATAGGTTGACCCCCTCTTCTTTGTGGCAGCCCCCGAGATGTTGGAACACTGCTACCATATCAGATATATCCTTAATAAATTTTAGGAAACAGGAACATAGCTTAGAAAGCTTTGCTTTGCTTAGAAATGGACCATTGCTGCTCAGAGTCGTGCAGAGTCGCTTTTCAACGAGACTGAAGCCAGGTTTCCAAGGCCCCAGCCAGCAGATATTGGCCTCTTCAGTTCCACAAAATGGCATACCTATTCTGGCTGAACCTGATGGGAAGTGTAGTCCAGGAGACTGGCCAGGGGCATTTCAGGGAGGAGGGAGAAACTACCGAAGGGGAGCCACATTATCCTCTGATGACTAGGATGGTTCTTGACTGCCGTTTTCCAATCTGGACATGGGAAAACAACCTGCGGAGTCAGGAGGACCTGCTGAGAGAGTGAAACTACTCTGCTGGTAGATAACTGGAACCAGTGGTGGGTTCCAGCAGAGACTACTGCTGGTTCACTCAGGGTGCACCGTGCACGCATGTGTAGTACATGTGTAGTGTTCTGCACATACACAGAAGAAGAAAAAAAGATAATGGCACCTATGGTTACTGCCAGTTCCAGTTTGCTGGAAGTGGGAGCAACCCAGGCCTGCCATGCCCCCAAACTGGTTCTCTACTACCGGTAGTAGCTTCTACCGGTTCGGCCGAACAGGTCCAAACCTCCACCGACTGGAGCGTTACATGCTACCAGCTTCAATAACGTGTCCTGCTGACCGGGGAATACCCATTTTTAGGTAACATTCATTGGCAGCCAGGGGGAAAAGCTCTTCCGTGGAATAGTATATAATTCACTTGACAGAGAGAAAAGGCAACCTATGTTCATCCCATTGTTTAAAGCATGAGTGAACAGGGGTTTTGCAAACAGGAAGCTTTTTAAAAAAAATATTTGTAACTTAAATAAAGTATATTAAAGTATATACTTTGATAAAGCACATCAAACATGCATGATGCCTTTAAAATAGGGCCTACAAGGAATTATGCAGTAATCACATGAAAAAAATCCTTCTTTCTGCCCCTGATTCAGATCTCTGATTACTTGCAAATGGAAAGGGAATCTAGATAATAGAATAACAAAGCTGGAAGGGACCTTGGAGGTCTTCTAGTCCGACCTCCTGCTCAAGCAGGAAACTCCTGACCATTTCTGGCAGATGGTTGTCCAATCCGTTCTTAAAACTCTCCAATGTTGGAATACCCACAACCTCTGGAGGCGTTCCACTGATTAATTAGATTAACAGATCCTGCAGAGAGACTGAATTTGCATGTTTTCTTAGACATTTAAAAGATGATCAGTTTTGGCATTTCCACAATGGCCCAAATTGTGGATCACGGTGAATTCTAAAACAATAATAACAATTGGCATTTAGATGCTGAAGGGCACCTAATTCAGTGTAACCCCAAAGTCAGCGCTGCCTAATGATGCTCAGTCTGATTGCTTTAATTTAGTACCTGCAGTAGAAGTCAGTTGGTGCCCAGCCCTATTCAGATAAAGGCAGGAGAAAAGAGAAGAGAGAAAAGCATCTGTGGTTGCTTTGAGATTTAAGGATGCCCTTTCTGATGTTCTTGCAGGGGACGGAAGCGGCTGTGAAGTCTCCATCCTTGTCACCTTGGCTGGAAGTTCTTTTTATAGAACCTCTGCAGCTTCTAGGTCATAGGTCTTCAAACTTGGCAACTTCAAGACTTGTGGATTTCAACTCCCAAAATTCTCCAGCCAATTCTGGGAGTTGAGGTCCACAAGTCTTAAAATTGCCAAGTTTGGTGAACCCTGTTCTAGGGGTTCATGTGGATTGCTTCAGCTTTTAGAAATTATTTTCATGGCTTCAATATCTAAAAGGGGGACATTGAAAAGTGTTCATTTTGCTCACGAAATATTCCAAATTCAAACAAAACAATGTATTTGAAGAAAGTGCAGTCAACTATTGTCCCAGCTATTCCCCCAACCACCTACCCCCATACACACAAACATCCCTCTTGGGCTTTTGAAGTTGGCTGTGTTGAGGCTCCTCTTGACTAAAGGATGCCAAGCAAGACATACTTTGGGCTTTTTTGAAAGGTTGGGTGCTTGAATGGGCTGGCTCAGTCCTTTTGCCCGAGAGAGGCTGGCTTTCGTGAAAGTTTGTCAAGTGTTCTTGTTAAGTGAAGATCAGTGGCCTGTCCCATGTTCCTTGAAGGAAGAGTTGTTTGTCCCATTGCTATGAGGCTCTTCAGATTCAGCAAAGAGTAGAGGGAGGGGAAGTGGCCAGGATCACCATGCTCAAGGGATGGGGTAGAGCATCAGGACTCCCTCCAATATTTCCTCAAGGGGTCTCCTAGCAATGCTCCTGCCAAGTGCCAGACACAAGAAAACAGACCCACCAAAAATAGAGAAATAGTGGGAAGCGAAAAAGAAAAATCCTGGAGAGGGTTTTCCAAAAAATTTATCAAAAAGTGAGAGAAAACATCCAAAAGAAAAGAACCAATACATATAAAAAAGGGGGAAAAAGTTGGGGGGGAGATACTAGGAACAAGGGATCATTAAAATAAAATGAAATATGTTAATCATGGTAATGATGTGCAGCTAATTAAGATGTGATTGAATTATATTAATATTATTAACTGTGGAAATTATTAAGTAAAATGTTGATTATATACAATACTGAACTTGAAGATATATGTGGCATAGAAAATAGATGGAAATGAAATGATAAATTTGCTTTATTTCTAAAGGGATAAAAATGACATCCTTTGTGTATATAAAAAAAAATTAAAGTTGGAAAATTTGGGAAGAAAATAATACGGCTAAAATGGGAAATGGAAATCTAATGTAAAATGAATTAGGTATATCTGAAAATGTTAAAGAGGAGAAACTGGACAACACTCTGTTTACAAAAGAATTTTAAATATGTAACAAAAAATAAAAAAACTTTGTTCAGAAAAAAGAAAACAGGCCCAGAAACACATCTACATCAGCCATTCTCCAAATGATTAATCCTTCAATTATAATTGGAAAGGAAGAAAAGAAAGCCTTTGCACTCTTGGTTACGCTAAGGGCAGCTTTCTGCAGGAAACTTTTTGTACCTAGAGCTCAGCTGAACAACAATGTCCAGAAATTTAGGGCATAAGCTGAGAGCATTCCCCCCTCCCCCTTAGCTTCCCTACCCTTATCTTAGAGCAACCTTCTACATTCAATCTTGGGGCGGGCAGGTTGCACCCCTGCTCTGGCATCTAGTAGCTTTGGAGGGAATTAGAGAGAAGACATCTGTCCCTTACCTGCCCCAGGTGGCAGGAGGAGCACATGGGCTGCTGGGTGGAGTAGGATTGTGGAACCTGGCCAAGGCTCCTCTCTCGCTTTGTATCTGCATTCACAATTACTCTTCTCTTAGTTAGGCCACTTTAAGGAAGTGCCGTCTTCTTAATTAATCAATGCCTTCGGTTTAGGAGCATATGCAACAAAGCTTCCTTTGTTTAATGGGGGAAGTATTGATTATTTCTTATCCTGGAGGAAGTAATTGTTTTCTAATACCTGTAACTAGATCTAAGTAGAATGTTCCCCTTGTGGTTTTCAACAGAAGGGCATATGTGCAAAGGGCAAAGTTTACACTGTGAATTATGTAAATGTGTTTCGAAGACCGTTTCTCTGTTTTTGTCTAAACGTGTGGATGTGATTATTGTTTTTCTTGCTTCATTGTCAAAGAAAATTTGTTACATTTGCCTTTCTTGAAAAGATGGTTAATGCAATGCTTATCTCAATGCTTATTGTCCCTCTAACAGTTAACCTTTGGACTATGTTTCAAGCTGCTCAAAAACTGGGAGGATATGAAACAGTAAGTGTTGAAGTAACTTCTGAGAGAGAGAAATTGTGCACTCTTAATTTTCTCATGTTTTTGCCATGTGTGCATTAAATATAAAAAAAAAGAAGAAAAAAAACTCCACAGTTCAGCAGAAAACACTTTGAATTTATGGGGTTCTCTTTTGGAAACAGTCTGAATTAATTCCAGGCTTGGCAAACTGTAAACTTGTAGTTTAAAAAAAAGGGAGGGGGAACCAAAAAAGCCAACTCTGAGTGGAAAACATACGTAACTCTTCCTTGTCAAGGAAATTGTTTGGGTCTGTAATTTTTTCCTATGTTAAGAGAGGGATATTCTTGTAGAACTAGCCAAGATTGCGTAAAAGAACATTTGCCTTGGCATAGTCCCTGACATCTGCTCTTGTCAAATATGGGAAATGTATTAAATACTTTAAAAAGCAATCGGCCATGTCCATTACAGTGCAGTATGTTGTCTGTTCTTGTTTTGAATGCTAACAGCCTTTTGCAGAAAAGGGTCAGGCCGTGTAAACAGGAAGTTATCTAAAGTTTAAAATTAATGGGGAGGGGACTCAGTGCACTGATCCTTTTTATCAGCTAACAGTATCTGACACAGAGACTTTATTTTTAGCTCGTGGGGAAAATTGATGGTTGTGGATTTTACAGCGTGTGTCTCAAACCAAGAAATATTGGAGTCACAAACTGTGATTATGATCTTAAAAGGAGAAGAAAGAAGTGCCTGATATGACAGAGGGGGGGGGAGGGAGGGAGAGGGAGGGAGGGATGGATGGCATTTGGAACAAAATCCAGTTGACATAAAAGGTTCATCACTGGAAATGTTTTCATAGCCTTAGATTAATTGGAGCCTTCTTTAGGCATCTGGATTCCAAACACACTCACCAGGCATACCTGGATGTATGGAAAACCCTAGTTTTGCCCTTGTTCAGAAAGCACACAGCTTGGCTGCTCTTATGCTACAATGAAATAACAGATAAAATGTATTTATACTTGAAATGTATTTAAGCAAAACAGCAAATCATCCTGGAACTAGTAAGAAAAAGTGTATTGTTTCACTTTAATAACTATGCTACTAATGGATGTTGAGATGCTTTTGTTATTACAGAAAATAATGAATGCACACAAGCTGTTTTTTTAGGTCGCCCTTTAATTGACATTTGTTCCTTTTGTTTTAGTCTACTTCTGTGGCTAAATCTGTTCTTATTTATTCAGGAGTAATCTCCATTAAATTCAGTGGGTCATGCTTTGAAGGAAAATTGCAAGTTTAACATGGTTACTGCCATACTTAAAATATGAAGTGAAAACACCATAATTAACACTCTGTTCTAAAGAAGCTTGACTTTCACTGGGGAAGGTGCCTGAGTTACCCATGGCCAGCTTAAAAATTGGTGTCCCTTTGAACTATCAAATCAAAAAGATTCCCATCATCCTGTCCCCAAAAGGTCCTGGATCACAGAAACAGGAATGGATTCCCAAGCAAGGTGCTAAAATGGAAACTGGGAAGAGATCTGGGAAGATTGTAAACATAGCAGGCATACGCCTACCGTCCCTGTCCTATTGTTCCCACTTTTTCGTATCCATTTCCTGTATTCATAATCACATTTATACATATCTGTTATCTTATATATGCTTGACAAAATAAATTAAATTAAATTATCGTGTGCTTGAACTGAGAACTTAGCTTGGTTTTCTGACTCTGTTTAGCACAGGGGTCTCCAACCTTGGCAACTTTAAGACTTGTGGACTTCAACTCCCAGAATGCCTCAGCCAGCAAAGCTTGACCAAGCTGGCTGAGGAATTCTGGGAGTTGAAGTCCAAAAGTCTTAAAGTTGCCAAGGTTGGAGACCCCTAATTTAACACAAATTGTGACAATATTTGAAGTCACATTGAGCCTGTGGGCATTTGGGTGCAGGAAACATCATTTTCCCCCCTCAATCAGTAAAAGTGGTTAAAAAAAACCATCTATTTTGCAAGAGAGATTAAATGTTGGCAAAAATCCCAAATTAAGCCAGTGGAATGAGAGGAACTCTCCTCTCCTCTTGGTCTCTTTGTCCTCCATTCAGTTTAGAAAGCTTCTCAATTGTTATAATTTTAAGGAACTCCATTCCGTATAGAAGAGCCTTCAGCCACTGAACTCTTAGGAGGAAATTTGGATAGACTTTTCTACTCCGGAAAGCTTTTCAAACTTGGTTTTAGACTTGGTCTGATTTTAATCGGCATCTATTTCAATGCTCTAATAGCACATATTTTATTCGCTGGAAGAAGACGAAAGAAAAGAAAAAAGAAAGAAAAGCTTTTGTTTTGGAAAATTAAGCCATTTGTTGGACCTGCTTTCCCTGGACTTGGCTTCACCCGCACTTTGGGCCAGTGCTTTATTGTCAGCAAGGAATCAGATGATGTCCTGTGGCTGGTTGGAACCAGTCGTTTTCCCAAGGGGGGGTGATATTCTTACAGAAGTGAACATACCAAGTTGAAAATGCATCCCATTTATCATTTAAAAACTTCCCCAAGTGCTAAGAGGTACATCATACAAGAAGAAAACATGACCCGTGAAGTTACAGGTACAAAAGGGGAAGCTTAGCATCTCCCAGAAAACGTTGCTGAGGACACAGCTGCAGGAGTTGATGAAATAGTGGCCAGACTGATTGGCATCCCCTCCTTGAGGTTGGCAGATTGGTGCATAAGAGGCAATAAAGCCAAAGACCTGGAAAAAATCCATTGATATTGGCCAGTTTATGACCGTGAAGGGGGACTGCTGGAGAAGACTCCCCAAGTACAGAGCACAAGATGTTGTCGTTCAGACTTCCTCCGCAGCTGGACATAAAACTTCCAGAAATGGAAGCCAAATACAGGAAAGGCATTAGTGACTGGAATCAGAGTGCTGGCATTACGGAAAAGACAAGGGTGCTTCAAAAAGACAATGACTTATGCTTTGTTGCTTCAGCAAACTGGGTCTTCTCCTTTAAAAACTATGATCATGGGAAAGGTTTATGCAGCAATCTTCAAGTTCAAGGTTGGGAAAAGACTGTGCAAGATTTTATACCAATGCAGAATAAATCACAAGAACTGTTCGGTTAGAAAAAGCAGAAATTCAGATGAAAACTGCTGATGAAACCAGGAAGGCTGTAAATGAGAAAGATTTGAGAATCTTGTGTTGAAGGTGAAAGGAGAGAATGCAAAATCCCATCTGCTGCTCAACATTAAAAAAAAAATCAAAATTCAAAAGATTATGTTAACAGGAAATGCCAACCCAAAGCAAATAGGCAAGTGAAGAAGTTGAGTAGTAACAGCCTGGGATAAAGTTTGCAGAGGAGTGGCAGCCATGCAACAAAGAGACATTTGCTACTTGGAAGAGAGATTAGCAGAAATCTACACAGAATGTTAAACTGCTGAGGCATCACATGGACAACCATGGTATGTACTGTCAAGCCCATGCCTGCTTGGTTGTGGCATATGGCTATGAAAAAAGCTGGACCATCAGAAAGGCTAAGCAAAAAAAAAAAAAAGATGAATGCTTTTGAATTTTGGTACTGGAGAAAATTGTTGACAGAAGCTTGGACAGCCTGAGAACCAATCAATCATTCAACACCAAATGAAGTCACACGGGGTTACTCATTAGAAGTATTAAGAATGAGGCTAAAAGTGAGATACTGTACTTTAGGTACATAATGCAAAGGTGGGAGTCCTTGAAACTTTGGCTCTGATGCTTGACGGAATTGAAGGCAATGAGAAAGAGATGGGCAGAAGACCATTTGGCCAGGTGCCATCACAGATAATGGTCCAAGCAGAACCTTCCAGTCCTGTTGGATCGTGAAGCATTAGAAGCAATTGAACAACAAGAAGGCAATAATACTTAAAAGAGAAAAATAGGAGAAACACCGTGGCTTTAAATTATGTGCATTTCAGAAATGGCATGTAAGAAAGTTGTGACAGCCTGTTTTGCAAATAGAAATAACTATGAAGCAGTATCTGCACCTTTCATTAAAGCCAAGTACGGTATTTATATTGTCACAAGGGAAATTGTCAGATATTATGTTATATGCATAAGCCGAGGTGGCGCAGTGGTTAGGGTGCAGTACTGCAGGCCACTTCAGCTGGCTGTTATCTGCAGTTCAGCAGTTCTAATCTCACCGGCTCAAGGTTGACTCAGCCTTCCATCCTTCCGAGGTGGGTAAAATGAGGACCCGGATTGTTGTTGGGGGCGATATGCTGACTCTGTAAACCGCTTAGAGAGGGCTGAAAGCCCTATGAAGCGGTATATAAGTCTAACTGCTATTGCTATTGCTATATACGGCATGCCCGCCAGTGGAAGATAAATTTGTGAGGTGTTCCAAAGTGCCACGAGTTGATGCAGGTGCATATTTAAAATAGGATAGCTCTGTGTTGGGGATTAATTGTATATTTATTTTCAATTAATTCAATTCTATACATGAAAAGAACTATCTAATAGGAGAGTTTCGTTTGCAAGGTGAGAATCCCATGTTCCAGATGCCTCCATTTGAAGGTGGATGGAACCTTCCCTAAAATAGGGAATATGTTTTCTAGCAAGGATCATTTTAAGGAAAACAAAAAAAAAGACAAAAATCCAGGATTCGACAATTCAGCCTTAGTTATCAAGTGACTCACCTCAAAAACCTGGAATCTCAGTTTTCTCACATCATCCATGATTTGAGGGTAACCATGCAAGACCTGGCACCCCAGAAATTATTTTTTTCCCTCTCAAATATGTTACATCATGTGAGATGATTGTCCGCGATGCTCTGCCTGAGGACTTTATTGCCCACAAGCCAGGGCTTATTGCTGCTTGCAGAAGTGAGAGCACCCCTGTCTGGATGCTGGGGAGCACCCACAGTTCCATCCCTGGAGGAAACATCTTGCTGCATGAATGGGTGAAATCAAAGCTGCCTCACCCACAGAATGAAAGGGGAAACCTACTTCGCTGAAGCCTGCAACCTTGTTCATCACTGTCCCCTCTTTCCAAGGAGCCCCTGCCCCAGAAGAAGAAATGTTGATGTTAGTTGTGAAGTTGTGTCCGACCCATTGCGACCCCATGGACAACATTCCTCCAGGCCTTCCTGTCCTCTACCATCCTCCGGAGTCCATTGAAGCTCACGCCAGCTGCTTCAGTGACTCCATCCAGCTCATTCTCCGTCCCCTTCTTCTTCTGCCCTCAATCGTTCTCAGCTTTCCTAGTCTTGGCCTTTCCTAGTCTTGGCCTAGTTGTGGCAAAATATCCAATAGGCATGTTTAGTGAGTCTTCACCCCCACCAGACAAGCCCGGGAAGAAAAGAAGTAGGTGAACAGATGAATTTGCCCACATAAAAGCCAGTTCTACCAAACCTTAAATATTTCAGGTTAGGGTTGAATAAAGAGGAATTTTGGTTTAATCTCCCTCTGAAAGAGATAGTGATTATGACTAAAGAGAAGAAAACAAATATAACATTGTTTGTCTGAAATTAAAATATTACCAAGTAACATCTCTTTTGCTTCTGGTGCTTGCTTTTTGCAAAGAAGGCATTTTATCTTCATACAGAACAGGAAATGTATGGGTTCTGTAACAGTACTAATTAATTCTCCTCCTTTCATCTCCTTTTTAGGTTAAAATTATAACACCCCCACCCATCTACCTACTCTGCCAATTTGACAACTTTGGGCATCAATTTCCTTTGGTTCTGATCTGATTAACAGCACCAGCCAGCCCCCTTTAACTATACACAATCTTTGCTCCCCAGAGCTGCAAGACCCACTGCAAAATAGAACTGAATTCCCTCCCCATCAAATCACTTTCTCTCCATTTTCCTCTCTCCCTCTTTTGTCATGCATGCCTCCTATCAAAGCTTTCCCCCCCCCTCTCCTGTCCTATTTTAAAGCAGTTTGGACTGTATAAAATAATGAAGACCCGTTCAGTTCTTTTGCCACGTCTTCCATCTGTTTCTCTGTTAATCCTATTTCCTGTACAAAGATCGGACGCATAAAAGCCATAGCTTGCAATTTAAAATGTTATCAGATGTTTGTTTTCTTTTATTTAGCCAATTCCAGGACATACTTCAGATATTAATCTCAGAGAGTGTTTAGATTTCATTACAGTTTGATCTATATATTTTACTAGCTCAGATGAGTGAAAATAAACAGCTTGTATCAAGTTACACAAATTGTATTTCTGGATGGATTTACTGGAAAATGTGATGGGTTGAGGCTTCCAGCTGTAGTTCCTTGTCACTAACTCAATAAAATAATTTTGTAATCATTATTTATGCTGAGTTTGGGGTTCATGCTTATAATTTACCAAGAGATTTCTCTGAAAGCATTTTAATGGTTAATGCTCTCAGTGACTGAATGCTTTTTTTTTTTACCCAAGAAATTGCATACACAAAATTATCAGATTGCTTACTAAAGAGACAGAAACAAAATGCAATTCCAGAAAAAATAGAAGGTAGGTGAAATAAATATGCAAGATGTTGTATGCTGTAGGGATCCATGTTAGCTGATTCTCCTAGTGGCGTTATGGCTTGTGCTTCCTGCTGTCCTATATGTCTCACATGTACATTTTTTGCTGCACGCAACACACACACACACACACACACACACACACACGCTCTGTGGAGATGTAAGATTAAATCTTTCAAATTTTCCATTGCCACTTTTGCAGATCACAGCCCGTCGACAATGGAAACATATTTATGACGAATTAGGTGGAAACCCTGGGAGCACCAGTGCAGCCACGTGCACACGCAGACATTATGAAAGGTAAGAGAGCAGCCATGAAATGCTTGTCTAATAAAGGAGAACAATTCAATTGGGGATCCTTCAAAGGCGTTTGCACAGAATTGGCTGAAGGAGCCTGGAAGGCTCTTTTCTCCAGTCCTTGCAAAGGCTTCATTGCCCCGTTTAAATCCTTTGATGGGCTTTGATTTCCACCCGTGTTTGTTTCTTCAGTCAGAAAACAAAGGGCTGGCTCTGATTTCTTTCATTTCTCCAAAGCTTTTATTAGCCCGAAGCTCTAACAAATTAAGCAAGATAATCAACAGGGCACCAATGGGAGATATTTTAAAGATTTGATTGGCTCTGGGTTGCCTTTCAGAAAAAAATATGCGGATGTATGTAAATGAAGCAACAATTAGCTTGTTTGTTACACTGGTGTGTGAGTGTGTGTGTGTGTGCGTGCATTGAGATTGATGGGGCCGTTCCATATTCCTTTTTCTTTTTTCCTTCTGTAGCTATCAGCCATTTATCTTTCGAAATGCGAGACTTGCAGTTTTATAAGCATTGATTTTATACCCTGAGTTAATAACACTTTCCAAAGCTGGGTATCCAACATACATCAGACAACATGATATGGCTGTGCTGCTTTCTTAAAGGAATTTTTTAAAAAAATATGCCCATTAATAAAACATGCCCACTCTCAAGCTCTGAAAGCACAATGGGATCTCATGCTCCAGATCACTAACTGGTTGCTGGAGGGTCTGACCTCTCCACATGGGACACCGGCCAGACGGGGGGGGGGGGTGCTCTCCCCAAGTCTTGACCCATTGGCACAAGATAGGTGCTAGTCCCCATCAAGGGCAATTGTCATGTTCTGGTGGAAACCTGGTCTGCTTGGGAAATAGAGCTGGGAGAGAGGGCTGCCCAGCACTAAGAAAGGGAGGTTGGGATGTCTCTTGGTGCCCTTTGGGTTTGGGGGATTTTGGGCCCTTCCTATCTGGGACCAGCCTTGGACTGTCACCTCCAGGGGAAATTCAATTTTTTTTACTACTGGTTCTGTGGGCGGGGCATGGCAGGTGGGGCATGGCTGGGTGGGAATGGTTTGGTGGGCGGGGCAGGGGAAGGATACTGCAAAATCCCCATTACCTTCCCACTCCCAGGGGAAGAATATTGCAGAATCTCAATTCCCACCCCACTCTAGGGCCAGCCAGTGGTGGTATTTGCCGGTTCTCCAAGCTATTCAAAATTTCCGCTATCGCTTCTTCAGAACCTGTCAGAACCTGCTGGCATTCACCCCTGGACTGTCACCTCCAGGGGAAATTAGAGTCCACACTTTCATGAGTTTTTCCTCCAACTGATTTCATGCACTGAATAAAAGAGGAGATGCCTCCCTCACATACAAGGTTATGAACATCGGAACGGATTGGTCAATAATTATTTGGATCCCCACCACCCCACTAACCAGGGCTGGCTCCGGTGAGGGGCTGGACAAAGACCCCCAGGACAGCCATGTGCAACCCAGGGAAGGGAGTCAGGAAAGCTGTTGGGGAAGGAAGGAGGTGGACAAAGCACCCCTGTCCTCTTGCCGGGGGGGGGGGGGGAACCCTTGCCAGATGCTACCGCATCTTTGTAAAAAGCCGGGTGGGACTTGGCGTCTTCTTAATTCTCTGAATTGCGAGGGAACAGCCCCCTACCTGCAGGTGGGTTCAGTCCAGAGGCTGAAGAACAGCAGCTTCCTGCCCAAAATTAAGAGAAGTGGGGAGGAATCATGGCCTATCCAGCTTGTGGCTCCCCACCCCTCCTGCCTGCCTCCTCTTAGTTTCCCTTCTGCCATCTTTAACCCTCAAATTATGGACAGACAGACAAACAGACAGACAGACACACACACACACACACACACACACACAGAGCCTAGATTGTGGAGGCAGCCTCTGCTCTGCTCCCAGAGAGGCTGGGTTTTGGAACACTTTGTTGGCATATTCCTGTTTCCACTGTTGTGGCTGCGTGACAGAGTAAACACTTTCATTTTTAAAACCAGGCAGTGCGATGGCTGTGAGTGTCCTAAGTGTTGTTCTGGGCATGCATCTGGACCTTTTGCAGGCCTTCTTAAGGAGTGTAAGTGCAGGTTGCTCCGCAGACCTTTCTGTGGAATCCTTTACTCTCCACAAACGTGGAATCATGGCTTCAGCTGCTATTGATTGTCTTCAGTCAGTGTCTTCACCAAAAAGTCTTTGGCGGCCCAGTTTGGGCTTCCACCCTCTCCGTCTTTGTCAGGTACCAGCTGTTGTCTGTGGTGCCTTAGTACTCTATGTAGGTGCTTGGGTTACAGGTGATCATCATCCTCTTCTTTTAATGACCCCATAATCCCTTGAGGGGTGGAGGCTGGGCAACTGAACGGAACTGAGTGTTTACTGCCCTTCCTGTTGCCAATGCGGAGCTTAGGGGATGACCTGGTATTATTAGGTAGAAAATGCATTCTTCCAGAGAGGAGCCGATGCTATGGTCCCGATTCCACACCCACAAAGCGCACAAGGCACTATGTTGATTGTGTGACTTTAATTCTCCCTTGTGGTCACCTAAGGTCAAGCAGATTTAAAGATAGCATAACAGCTATCTGATTATAAAGAAAGCATTGTCATTTATCTGGGAGCTCAACATTTCTAAACGAACTGTAAATTAAGGGAAAGAAAAGCTATATTGTAAAGCTCTGAAGCAGTGGTGGGATTCAGCCAGTTCGCACCTATTCGGGAGAACCGATTGTTAACCTTTTAAGCAATTCAGAGAACCGGTTGTTGAAAAAAAATCTCCTTTTGTTTCTTTCCACTTTGCAGGGCTAATCCTGTAAGGAAGACAGGAAGGAAGCATTCTGGTTTTATTTCTAGCCTCATCTTTATTGCCCTGCTTATAGAAACTGCCTCTCCCGTTAACCCTTATTATTAGTTTGCTGGTTCAAATAAGCACCCTCAGCAGATCTTCAAAATGGGTGGTTTCATTTTTCAAGTGCCGGCATAATTGCCCCCCACTTGCCTTAGGTGAAGGCGGGCTGGCATGACCAGACAGACCCCAGCATCCCCAGATGCACCAAGCTACCTCAGCAGGTATGTCCACACCTGCAGGGATGTACAGTATCAATAGTTAGGCCTCTGAACTCCATTGATCAAACATTTCAGTCTCATGTGTTTTAAGATTACGGTATTCAAACAAGCTCAATCTCTTGTTCTTTGAATTTCAACCAAATCCACAATCCAATGAAAAGAAGAAAGTTCTGGTGAAAATGTTTGTAGCAGGCGGATAAGGAAGCCGCCTGTCCCAAACAATGAAGCTTTTGCCCAAAGCCTAAACTTTGGGATTCCTCTGACATCAATAGTGGAATTGACTTTGAACTAAATACTGAAGCTAAGACTGTATCACTGGCCTTTCCCTAAGCACATGGCAAAAGTTACTCTGTCAAAGGAAAAGTTTTCCCTTCTTACAGAGGAATTCTGTACTTTTACATGGACTTTCAATATTGTTGTGTAATCCTGCTAAAAGAAGGAATCCGCAAGCCTCGAATGATTCAATACATTATAGAGCCAAGGATCAATTTTTGTGGAGAAAACACATAAAAATGTATGATGCAAATCCCATATTATTTATTTATGTATTCATTCATTCATTCATTCAATCAATCAATCAATCAATCAATTTCTAAAGCTACCAGACTCATCCATTAGACTTAATACATGTCTGATTTTTTTTGTCCATGCTGTGGTGTGTGTGTCTGTTTGTGTGTGTGTGTGTAGGAACCCCAAAGGTTTTGTTCTTGAGTAGATGCCCCTCTTTGCACTGAAGGGAGCCTGGCAGGACTGCATGTGATTCACCATCTGTCCATCCATCCTTTTTCCCCCTCCACCCTCTAGGATGAAGGGTGGGAATGATATCCAGAAGTTTTGAAGGAAAGAAACAAGAGGTGCTGAACTTTTCAGCTATTTGACGTGGCTCATTTTGCCTTTCTCGTTTGTCATAGGCACACTGGTTCATGAAATCTCACACTGTATATGGTCTAAGTGCTTAGCATTTATTGGCATCTCGTGGCAAACGTAGTAAATGAAATCAATAAGAATATCAATAGCATTGACAACATCATGATCAGTCAATTGCGAAAGGCAAGTTTTACCCAGAAAAACTTATATCCTGTGATGACACCTTTAAGACCATCCAACATCCCCCTCTCGCCTCTCTCTATTGCCAGTAGCCTCCCACCGTCCAGTGCGATCCCACAGAGTTGGCCTCCTCAGGGTGCCGTCGGCCAGACAGTGTCGGCTAGTGACCCCCAGGGGGAGAGCTTTCTCTGTGGGAGTGCCTTCCTTCTGGAATGAGCTGCCCCTTAGCTTCGCATAATCCCCAACTTCTGGTCCTTTCGACGCGCCCTAAAAAGTTGGCTTTTCCAGCAAGCCAGCCTGGCCTGAACAAAACAAAAT